TCTCAGCTCTGGAAGGGTCTAGAGCCTCCATTTTTGCACTCAGGTCTAAGTCTCATGGCCCTCTATCAGAATCCAGAGTTTTGAGAAGATTGGAGAAACTTAATTTTTCGCCCAAAAAAAAAAACGTAAGGGGTACCACTGTCGTTTTTTTTTCGGGTCGAAATTTTGAGTTTCGATATCTCAGCTCTGGAAGGGGCTAGAGCCTCCATTTTTGCACTCAGGTCTAAGTCTCATGGCCCTCTATCAGAATCCAGAGTTTTGAGAAGATTGGAGAAACTTAATTTTTCGCCCAAAAAAAAAAACGTAAGGGTAACACTGTCGTTTTTTTTTTCGGGTCGAAATTTTGAGTTTCGATATCTCAGCTCTGGAAGGGTCTAGAGCCTCCATTTTTGCACTCAGGTCTAAGTCTCATGGCCCTCTATCAGAATCCAGAGTTTTGAGAAGATTGGGGAAACTTAATTTTTCGCCCAAAAAAAAAAAACGTAAGGGGTAACACTGTCGTTTTTTTTTTCGGGTCGAAATTTTGAGTTTCGATATCTCAGCTCTGGAAGGGTCTAGAGCCTCCATTTTTGCACTCAGGTCTAAGTCTCATGGCCCTCTATCAGAATCCAGAGTTTTGAGAAGATTGGAGAAACTTAATTTTTCGCCCGAAAAAAAAAACGAAAGGGGTACCACTGTCGTTTTTTTTTCGGGTCGAATTTTTGAGTTTCGATATCTCAGCTCTGGAAGGGTCTAGAGCCTCCATTTTTGCACTCAGGTCTAAGTCTCATGGCCCTCTATCAGAATCCAGAGTTTTAAAAAGATTGGAGAAACTTAATTTTTCGCCCAAAAAAAAAAAACGAAAGGGGTACCACTGTCGTTTTTTTTTTTCGGGTCGAATTTTTGAGTTTCAATATCTCAGCTCAGGAAGGGTCTAGAGCCTCAATTTTAATACTTAGGTCTAAGTCTCATGGCCCTCTATCAGAATCCAGAGCTTTGAGAAGATTGGAGAAACTAAATTTTTCGCCCGAAAAAAAAACAAAAACGAAAGGGGTACCACTGTCGTTTTTTTTTTCGAGTCGAATTTTTGAGTTTCGATATCTCAGCTCTGGATGGGTCTAGAGCCTCCGTTTTTGCACGCAGGTCTAAGTCTCATGGCCCTCTATCAGAATACAGAGTTTTGAGACGATTGGAGAAACTTAATTTTTCGCCCGAAAAAAAAAACGAAAGGGGTACCACTGTCGTTTTTTTTTTTCGGGTCGAATTTTTGAGTTTCGATATCTCAGCTCTGGAAGGGTATAGAGCCTCCATTTTTGCACTCAGGTCTAAGTCTCACGGCCCTCTATCAGAATCCAGAATTTTGAGAAGATTGGAGAACCTTAATTTTTCACCTGAAAAAAAAAACGTAAGGGGTACCACTGTTGTTGTTTTTTTCGGGTAGAATTTTTGAATTTCGATATCTCAGCTCTGGAAGGGTCTAGAGCCTCCATTTTTGCACTCAGGTCTAAGTCTCATGGCCCTCTATCAGAATCCAGAATTATTAGAAGATTGGAGAAACTTAATTTTTCTCCCTAAAAAAAAAAAAAAAAAACGAAAGGGGTACCACTGTCGTTTTTTTTTTCGGGTCGAATTTTTGAGTTTCGATATCTCAGCTCTAGAAGGGTCTAGAGCCTCCATTTTTGTACTCAGGTCTAAGGCGCACGGCCCTCTATCAGAATCCAGAGTTTTGAGAAGATTGTAGAAACTTAATTTTTTGCCCGAAAAAAAAAAATGAAAGGGGTACCACTGTTGTTGTTTTTTTCGGGTCGAATTTTTGAGTTTCGATATCTCAGCTCTGGAAGGGTTTAGAGCCTCCATTTTTAAACTCAAGTCTAAGTCTCATGGCCCTCTATCAGAATCCAGAGTTTTGAGAAGATTGGAGAAACAAAATTTTTCGCCCGAAAAAAAAAAACGTAAGGGGTACCACTGTCAGGTTTTTTTTTTCGGGTCGAATTTTTGAGTTTCGATATCTCAGCTCTGGAAGGGTCTAGAGCAGGGGTGCCCAATCCTGCTCATGGCGATCGACTGTCCTGCACAGTTCATCTCAAACCCTAATCAAACACACCTGAAGTAGCCAATTAAGGTCTTTAGGATCACATTCAGCTGTGTTTGATTAGGGTTGGAGATGAACTGTGCAGGACAGTCGATCGCCAGGAGCAGGATTGGGCACCCCTGGTCTAGAGCCTCCATTTTTGCACTCAGGTCTAAGGCTCACGGCCCTCTATCAGAATCTAGAGTTTTGAGAAGATTGGAGAAACTTAATTTTTTGCCCAAAAAAAACAAAAAAAACCAAAGGGGTACCACTGTCGTTTTTTTTTTTTCGGGTTAAAGGTTCTCTGAGCGATCCTGGGTGTTGACGTTCGAATATTTTCAAACAAATCGGAGCTAGACCCTCCCTCCTCCGCATCTCATCTCCTCCCCCTCCCTTCCGTGCTTCCTGAAATAATTGTGAACGTGCATAGTTCTAGCTAATTATATCCTTGTGTGGGTTTAGCGAACATAAGCGTCAATTTAGAAGAAAAAAAAACAATTTAACGTACCCACCTGTCAAGCAAAAACAGAGCAACTTGAATGTCAGACTGGAACCCTTCTGCCGCCGGAGTTCTCGCCATCGTTCAAAAGCTTTGCTACCGATGTAAATTCGGAACTTCGCACGTTCTTTATTCGACTCCTTCTTCTTTTTAATTTGTTCCTCAGAACGACGTCTCTTTGGTCGTGTGTCGGTAATTTTTCAAACTTCCCTCTGATGATTCGCTGCTCTCCTTCACACACACACACACACCCTTCATGTGCACGCGCACTAACCCCCCAGACCCACCCTCAAATACTTCTTGCCAGTGATTGGCTGGAACACTGTTTGTTAGGTTTCGTGGTCCGGGTAAGACATGATTGTTTTTGTTGCCGTTTGTGGAGCCTGTGGTGTCTACAGAGACCGCGTTTTTTTACAGTGTGTTTAGGGGACAGGCAGCTAGCCGATAGTGAGGAGACGTTTGATGTATGTGACAAAAAATGTTTTGGCCCAGCATCGCTTAGAGAACCTTTAAATTTTTGAGTTTCGACATCTCAGCTCTGGAAGGGTCTAGAGCCTCCATATTTGCACTCAGGTCTAAGTCTCATGGTCCTCTATTAGAATCCAGAGTTTTTAGAAGATTGGAGAAACTTGATTTTCTCGCCCCCCCCTCCCAAAAATGAAAGGGGTACCACTGTCATTTTTTTTTTTTTTTTGTGGTTGAAATTTTGAGTTTCTCTGATCTTCTTGAAACCCTGGATTCTGATAGAGGGCCATGAGACTTAGACCTGAGTGAAAAAATGGAGGCTCTAGGCCCTTCCAGAGCTGAGATATGTTAAAGGTTGTATAGGCCAAACCAGGTGTTATCATAATCCCGATATTGACACGGATCCATCACAACATGTCTTCATATTAGGGACGGAAGTGAGTGCTGGCAGTCAGGTGCTGGAGGAGTGGAGGAACGGATGTGAAGAGGACACAATCAGCGCCAACACGCACTCATCCACTTAATCACTGATGGGCTTATTACACACAGCACTGATCTGACACTGCACTACTGTGTACTTGACCAGACAGCAGGTGCACATGCACAAACACACATACACACAAACAAACACACACACACACACACACACACACACACACACCACAGTCAGGATGTGAATCTCAAAAAAACCCAGATCCTGGTCACACTTCACCCCAAAATATAAAGCAGGAAATATAAAGACTTAGACCTGAGTGCAAAAATGGAGGTTCTAGACCCTTCCAGAGCCGAGATATTGAGATATTTATAATGGCATAAATGCTGCGTGGGATCTCAATATCTCAACTCTGGAAGGGTCTAGAGCCTCCATTTTTCCACTCAAGTCTAAGTCTCATGGTCCTCTATCAGAATCCAGAGTTTTGAGAAGATTGGAGAAACTTAATTCTTAACAGTTAACAGTTTTGGGTGTTAGTTCTTTATGATCTGACCCTTAAAATTTTCGTTGGTATAATGTAATGTAGGCCAGGCATATTAAACAGAGTACCTGCAGATCCTTACAAATCACTTAAATGTCTTATGTCTGTAATATAAAAAGTCTTAAATAGTGTTTGTGGAGGCATTTTTTGTGCTGTCTGTTTGAATGTATCAGTTCAAAACAATAGTTTGTTTCATTTTATGTTTAAGAATGTTGCTGTTTATTAATGATTAAATAATAAGCTCTATAAATATTATTCTTCTATTAACTGAAAATGGCTTGATTTTTAGACTTCAGTCACTTAAACTGGTTCATCTGAACTAACAAATAACCGTTTTATGTCACCACTTGAACACATTGTAACATAAGCTATATTTTCTTGTTAAAACCTCACTATTTAATATCTAATATGATATTTATATTTATATTTGAACAGCTTTATGAGATCTTCACCTTTCTCGGAGAGCATGGAGGAATTGCACAGGTCCACGCAGAAAATGGAGAAATAATAGCGGAGGTATGCACTTTATTGTGCTTTATTGCACTTAACTCTGGGCCGCTTTTAAAGGGGTCATGACATGAGAAATCCAATTTGCCTTGATTTTTGACATATAAAAGCTAGTTAGCTGCTAGTTTCAGAGCTTTAAAAGTCTTCCTCATAAACAAAGCATTTATTTAATCAAGCTCTAAAAACAGCTCGTTTTGTTATTGATCTGACATCATATTTGAAATAAATATTTGATATATTTGTAATATTGTAATGATATATTTGAAATAAATTACACTTAATGTGCATTCAGTTCCCCGAAAAGATTGCATTTAAGTCACACTTAAGTGATACATTTAAAGTGTATTATTTTTGTAATAAGTACACTTTGTAAAAGTACACTAAAGTGCACTCTTTTTTTCACAAGGGTAGTGTTGTAAATGTTTCATTATATTTTGATGTTTGTGTGCACGCATGTTTTAGGCCAGTTCTTATTTCCTCGAACGTGACAAATCATATACAGGCAGTCAGTTGTAACTTCTGTTTATTGAGGAACAAATTTTGCACATCACACATTCACTTTGACCTGCTTTTTTCTCCTTCATTTTTGACCCAGCTGTTTAAAAAAACGGGGGGGAAATACAATCAAACCTACATAAATATAATAAACAACATATTCCACATCACTTGTTATGTAGGTTATGTAACTCATTCCTCAACTAGACCTCTATCAAAGATGTAGATTTTAAAAACTTACTCCAATACTTCTGTGATTTAAGAAAAGACATTGTAGCACCTGTTAATCATTTTTCAATTGACATTTGAGCTGTAATTGTAGTCGCCTGAATATTCAACGAAACTGAAATGCAAAAGCTGAATATCTTTCCATCACTCATTTGACATGAAGTCTAGTTAACCTTTCTTTTCCTTTACTGAGATTCAAAGTTCATATGACGGGTAACAAAAGCAGTACAGTATGTGCACTGGTGTGGTGCAAATGTTTTGTAGTATATCATTGCATGTTTTTCCTTAACATTCATTCAACGTTATAATCCTTAAAAAAAAATGCAAACTCGACACTTCATTTACAAAGTAACATTAACTAGCATAATCACAGCCGATATATACGCGCAAAGAAAAAGCTTACGAGGGAATACAGATAAAGCCCTATGAAATACATGACAGTAGTCCTTCCTCTACTGAACGCAAACGCCTGCCGGAAATGCTAACGAGTTTTAATTCTACTTCCTTTTTTAAACATTGCAAACAAAGTGGGTTTCACTGTAATTCTAATGTCTTCTAGGTCAGTTTATCCAAACACATCTAAACGAACAGAACGCTACACTAAATGCCCTGGTTTTTGAACGGGCTTTGCTTTCTTCAGAGGTGGACTACTGATGTTCAGTCGCTCAGCAGGAGTAAATCATGAAGGGTAAGGCATGAGTTCAGTGTTTTACGTTTCTTTACCTGACTAATCACCTTACTTCTACATGGTTGATTTTATCCTGGCGCTCCCTCTTACATGCTCTTTATATCTAACTAAGAGAGGTGATGTTGGAGCGGCCACCAGGGGGCACAACGATGCGTCGTCCCGCTGGTCTGATGGGGGCTTCTTCAGGACCTGTGACGGGACAGAGAGAGAGAGAGGGTTACATGATGGCGCTTGTGTTCAAGTTGTTCGTGTGAAGTTGCAGCGTGGACCAACAGCTGCTCGGTCTGGGTTTAAAGTGCTTTCTGTGTGAGCCAGGACTGTTTGTGATGTCCCTATACGTTAAATTTGGAATTGATGTGCTTATTCAGTTTTGGTGGACCTCCTTTATACGGAAAAATACACATTTTAAACACACAAAAACATTGGACCGACAACAAAAAAAGTTGTTCTCAAATTATATTTATGGTTTGATTACATCTTAAATTCTGACCATACTTAATCAGTATATTTTCTTTAGGCATAAGCCAAAATGTTACTAAAATGTACAGTAGGACAATATAATATTTTTGGGGCTTTTTACAACTTAATTTCACCATAAACAAAAGCTAAATTAGCTATAATATAAGAGTAGAATTGTTACTCAAGATAAAACTAAATGACCTAGTATGCTTTGGAATATAGACCTAAGTTTGGTCTTGTTTTAAAGAAAATAATCAGCAAATTATTACTGAAGTGAAAGCACTTCAAAAAAATAAAGTATGAAAAAGTTATGGAAGTTATAATTTACAGTAAATCAAATATACTTTCATTAATATAAAATGAATCTTTTTTTACTATAAAATTACTATAAAATGAAAGCTATATATCTAACCAAGTTGTGTTCCAAATTTAAAGTTGATATCACAAAAATTGAAGTTCCCATGAGATTTTGTTTAGGCGTAGTACCAAAAATAGCCACCGGGTGCTATTGAATTCCATTTAATTTAGTTGTATGCATTCTGCCATAACAAATTAATACATTTCTATCCAAATGTCACTTCCGTCGCTAAATATGGAACCTTGAGACTCAGACCTTTCTGACAATATGTGCTTTGTCAAGATTAGAAAAGGTTTTGATAATATATTATGAAAGATGATGCCCAAAAGGGGAGGGGCCTAATAAAAAAAAGTACCATTTCTATGGTAACGCAACGTCCAATCTCAAAACGGTTTTCACAGGATGAATTCTGAATTTGTAAGCTTTCAAATGATACCTAATCTATGATAACTACTAATAATAAAATTATATATATATGATATATATTATACTTTTTAGTAATATATTTTACTTTTTACGTTTCTGCCACTGAATATATAAAAAGGTGATTATGACTTTCTCACAATTCATATTTCGCAATCTTGAGGAAAAAAACGTCTGAATTGTGAGATAAAAAGTCGCAATTATCTAAACAAACAGGTTTAAAAATGACTTATTTGGCAGACAAAAGTGTTTAAATATTTTCTAATATTTTTAACAAAACTGCAATAAAATAAATCATTATAAACTACTTAACAGGGTTTTGTTTCCAAGAGAACGATAATTTCTTCATTGTGACGTGTTCTACTTTATGCTTCAAAATATTAGGGCTGGGTATTGAGACAAATTTCACAATTCGATTTCGATTCACAAGCTTGCAATTCGATTCGATTTCGATTACGATTCGATTCAATATCGATTATTTCGGATATCAGTTACAATAAATGGCAAATTTTCTCAAGGGAATCAAATCTCTTAAATGCTGTAAACTATGGGAGTCTAGTTGTAGCCTATAGGCTTCATTAGCCTAATATGAAGGTAATAATTAACTGTTTTATAGCTATACAAACACTTAAATGACACTTTTATTTATTTTTATAATAAGAAGATTATATGAAATATAAACATTTAAATGGTGGCTGTCATAAAAACTTGCCAGATTTATTCAAATATGCATTAAATATTGAAGAACACTAACGAGTGTGGACTAACGAGTTTATGTGGGTTTTCTGAGGTAAATATGACGATACATGACATTGATTACAAGCTGTTTAACTGACGTCTTTCCACGGATGAAACGCAGATTGAGCGAATCAATGTGACATGATAGGGATTTCGATAAGTTGTACTCTCTCTTTAACACACTTTCAGAAGCTCATTCATGTTTATTTCGCGCTGTAGCTGGTATTATTAAGCCGGAAGAGAGATCAGCGCTGCTGCTTCTCCAGAGCGATCTCACGCCACAGCGCCAAAACGCTATTTATGTTTTTAAATTTCTAAAGAAAATGGACGTAATTTAAAAATTGAGACTTTGTTTCATATCAATAGTAACAAAGGACAAAGATTATTGCGATTTGTTGGATGCGCGCAGCCGCGAAACAATGTCTCATTCATTCAAACGAAACAGGATGACTAATCGATTCTTGAGATTTAAGAATCGATATCGGTTTGTAAAAATGAGAATCGATTAATATCGAGAAATCGATATTTATTACCCAGCCCTACAAAATATGTCAAAATTACTGTATATATGAATTGCATTTTTGTGTATTTTTGATTAAATGTATAGATAACTCCTTAACTTGCATATATTTATGTTCTGTGTCAGTGTTTATCCCACTCTAACTCAATAATTATGCCAATTTGATGTTTGCGTCTGCACTGTTGTATGAATACGAGACATCATTCCCCAGGGTTACCGGATAGCGTGAAGCCGGACTGATGGAGGTTCCTCAGGGGGGCTTTGGTGGGTGAGGAGCGGGTGGAGGCGGACGGTGTTCCTCCCCTCGACAGGGCTGTAAACTCAGACACGGGGCCGTCATACATGCCCCTGGGGACCGCCTTCAGCATGGCCATCTGTGCGACACACACACACAAAACAGAGAGAGAGAGAGAGGCAGTTTGGGTGTTGGCAATTACATTCCATAGATGCATCTATCCTCATGTGGGCCATTTTGGGGAACTGCGTGTTCATTTAAATTGTAAATTTCATGTTCCCTTGGAAATTGGTTCCAGATTTCGCTGACAGAGGGTTGAAAAGGTTAATCATGCTGCACCATTTCTACAATGTAAGCAAGATATTTTTTGAGATTTGCTGGCTTAAAACAACAGTTTGTCCAAACATCTGAATATTTCCAGAGCAAAGCAGTTTTCATTAAAGGGACAGTCCACCCAAAATGAAAATATATGAATTAAAGTTAATAATTTACTCATCCTTTCTTTGAAAAGATATTTTTCTAAAACAAACCTCATTGGTTTTCATGCATCAAACAAGCATGAGCATCAATGTGTGCAAATTTCAATTTTTCATATGAATCGACTGTCTCTCTTTGAATCAGAAGACTTGAATTAAACCACTCATCTCATATTAATTAGTTTTACAAGCGGTTTTGGTTGAATGGACTTTCAATGGATGGACAGAAATATCTTGTTTATGTATCTCGTGAAAGATGACGGGATTTGGTTCGACAGTCCACTTCTATACAGTCGACTGACTATACGTAACATGTCAACTTATTCTACAAACCCGAGCCCTATGTAACAGTCTACCGATACTCTAATGAGAGTTAGTTAGTACAACATCTAAAGTGGACCATCCAAATAAATTGTAACCCAGACTTTTAAATTTTGGGGTAACTATCCCTTTAACTTGCATTTTCATTTTGTACCATGTGATCACTTTGATATGTCCATAGATTGTCTAATATGGGGGAGAACTCCCACTCTCAGTAAGCGTCCGGCTCCTGAACTGGTTGCAGTTCCACTCTGAGTCCACACGGGACGAATGGAGGTCTATGGAGATATACCCCTCAAAATCCACTTTTCGCAGGATATCATTTTTTGTCTAGTACTTTGAATGTTGTTTTCGAAAGGAGATGCAAAGAAATGACAGATTACTGGGAGTTTTTTATATAGTCTTTTGAAACGTCAGTGACGTCATACACATCATCCGACCAGTGATGCTGCTTTACGGCAATCCTTCAGTCACTTTGGTGCTTTCGCGCTCTGCACTTTCCTTTCTCTTGAGGTATCGATAACAGCTGACACACGTGCTAGAAGAGTTAAGACATCCTTAACATTGGATGCCCCGATTTTTAGCGTGTTATGGGCAACCGATAGGACATAAGTACTCGTCCATTCAACTTTCGACCTATAACCCGTGTTGAACTTGCAAAACCTACAATCAAATCTGAGATTTCTCAATGGCAATCGGGTGAACAAGATAAATTTAGCCGTCCATAGACTCCCATTCATTTTGCACTCATGGGCGATCGCCCCCAGTGGAACTCTGGTGGAACTACAACCACAATTCGGTACAATAGGACTTAAAGGAATAGATGACTTTCAAAAAAACTTTTGCTGATAATTTACTCACCCCCATGTCATCCAAGATGTCCATGTCATTCTTTCTTCAGTCGAAAAGAAATGAAGGTTTTTGATGAAAACAATCCAGGATTTTCTCCATATAATGGACTTCAATGGGAACCAAACGGTTCAAGGTCCAATTGAGAGTTTCAGTGCAGCTTCAAAGGGCTTTAAACGACACCAGATGATGAATAAGGGTCTTATCCAGGACCCTTCGAGTCATGACGAGTTTGAACAGGAGAGTCACGAACGCTCATCACACGGCGAGCATTTGAGCTAATAAAACATAATATTTTTTATTTATTTTTTAAATGAGCGGTCGTTTCGCTAGATTATTACCCTTATTCATCGTCTGGTGTCGTTTAAAGCCCTTTGAAGCTGCACTGAAACTCTCATTTGGACCTTGAACCGTTTGGACCCCATTGAAGTCCATTATATGGAGAAAATCCTGGAATGTTTTTATCAAAAACCTTAATTTCTTTTCGACTGAAGAAAGAAAGACATGGACATCTTGGATGACATGGGGGCGAGTAAATTATCAGCAAAAGTTTTTTTAAAAGTGAACTACACCTTTAATAGGGAGTGGCAGGCTCCCTTAGACGGGCTTTGATGTGGCTCTAAACCTTCAGCTTCCTTCGGTCTGTTTGTGTCATGATGGTGGAGTGTATTTTTTCAACAGGGCAAAATATATTTAATAGACCCAATTTTAAAAACCACAAAAAGACATTAACATTGCCTTTCCAATAGGAAATGATGTTAAACTGCAAAAAAAAAAATAGTGTATAGGGGAATAAAATGAATAGGAATTTCAGTCCAGATGTTCCTGTCACAACCTGTGTGTTCAGGACCTGTGCTCTTCCCAGCGCGAGCTCTACCTGTTTCCTGGCTTTGACACGTTTGTAAGCGAAGTCCGGAAACGGGGTGCAGGGAATAAAGCGTCCGGTGCCGGAGGTCGCGTGCAGGTTCCCGTCCTCCAGAACAATCTTCCCCTGGCAGACGACCAGCAGGGGCGCACCTCTCAGCTCCATGCCCTCGAACACATTATACTCCGCTGCCTAGAACAACACATAACAGCACGGCCATTAAACAACACAAAAAACGGCCACCCAGACAGTAACAGAGTCGGCCCAGATCCGGGTGTTGAATCCACATGTGGGCCGGACTCTATGTTACCCTCTGGGTGGACGCTTTTTTGTTTCATAATGGACATTTGTATATTAAATCACATAGGATTAACTGAATTGAAGAAATAATCAACAGATTAACAGTCTTTACCATTCAAACGTTTGTTTTTGAAATTTACGCAACATTTATCGGATCAAAAATACGGTAAAATCAGTAATATTATGAAATATTATTACAAATTAAAATAACTGGTTTCCATTTGAATATAATTTAATTAGTAATTTATTCTTGTGATCAAAGCTGTATTTCCAGCATCATTACTCCAGTCTTCAGTGTCACATGATCCTTCAGAAATCACTCTGATTTGTGGATTTGCTGCTCCAGAAACATTTATTATTATCAATGTTGTAAAAAGCAGTGCTGCTTAAAGAGTAACTAAACACTAAACCAACTTTTTTTAGTTCATGATCTGTAAGAATGGATCTTTATTAATACCAGTCATTGATTCGAGTAACTTTTTTGGCATTTGTTTATAAAGTGTTCTATTTCTACAATATATGGTGTAAAAACGTCTTAGTGCTGCCCTCTTCAGGTTGAACGGTGGCTACTGCAGTTGAATTTTTCCTATTGGATGTTCCGCACTTCGTGACCTACGCAGTTTTCAGCTCACCACGCGAGCTACGCCCTTGGCAGTATAAAAACCATCTTGTGTCTTCAAAACCACTGTAGGGAGTCAGGAATTGGAATTGTGAGTATTGAAAACGATCAGAATAGAGTGTTTTAGCATCTATTTCGTCCCCTCTATCTCCGCTGGGGTCAGCCCACTTTTTCAGCATTTTCAAATATTGCCAGTGGGTGGAGTCAGGCTCTGACCAGGGGTTTAGTTACCCTTTAAGGACGGATTCACGTATAGCGCCTAAAAACGCGTAGAAAACGCTGGGCACGCCGCATTCTCCATTTTCCAAAGCGCTAGGGCGGTTGCGCTCTGGTTGGTTCTTGTCACGTGACCTACTGTGCGCTTATGGTATTCTGAAAAGTTGAGATGTTTTTATCTCGATGCTTCCCTTATGAGCGTGCATACCGCGCGCCTACATTTGAAATAACAAACTTGAGAGCGCAAAAGACGCGATATGTCCCGAAAGGGATAGTTCACTTTGAAAATAATTTTTGGTATGTTTTAGCTAACTTCAAGGACATCCAAAATGTAGGTGTTTTAATTTTGATATTTTTAGGTCAAACCGTTCTTGTCTGTCAGTCATATAATGGAGGTCTATGGTCACCACCTCAAAGAGCATGCACAGAGAAGTCCAAATTAAACATGATTCAATGACTCGTAAATGTAAGTACACATTGATGGCCTAAGACACGAAACGAGCGGTTTGTGTGAGAAAACCAACAGTATTTATATCGTTTTTATCTCTTGTAAACACAGCCACGTCCAAGTTATCTGAGGGCGTGGGCGCTTTGTGGCTGTGGTTACAAGAGGTAAAAACTAAATAAATATTGTTGTTTTCTCACACAAACCGCTCGTTTCATGTCTTAGGCCATCAATGTGTACTTACATTTACGAGTCATTAAATCATGTTTAATTTGGACTTCTCTGTGCATGCTCTTTAAGGTGGTGACCATAGACCTGCATTATATGACTGACAGACAAGAACGGTTTGACCCTAAAAACATCAACTGCGGAAACAATCCTGGATGTCCTTGAGGTAAGCTAAAACATCCCAAAAATTAATTTCAAAGTGAACTATCCCTTTAATACTTTTTTCCCAGGATGCTTGTATGAATAGAAGGTTCAGCGTGACGTGCTGTACAACAGACAGAGACACCGACAGCCGTTTTGAGTTTGAGCTTCTGCAAAGATATTCCACACTAATGAAGATCATGTGTACGAGTCTGGCCTCTCGTCCTTCATTCACTCTCTCGTTCTCTTCTCCAAACAGCTGGATACAGGAATGACAAACACACCCTTCGCTTTTTACTCACACTCTTGTTTTTTGTTACTTCTATCATCCCTTTCTTTCTAGTTTACTACTCCCCTATTTTCTGATTCCGTGTTCTCCAGTGGACACTTTAAATGTTGTGATGTCCTGCCATGATCCAGGCTCTTTGCATTTGGCAATCGTCCATTCTTTGTGTGCAAAAGCAGGAAATGACACGCAACGCAGCTTCTGCCAAGGATGCTGGCACGGGCTTCATCTTCTGTAGGAGAGCACAAACGCAAGACTTTCGGGCAGGTGATGAAGTCATGATTTAGGTGTCTTCGCCGAGCATGGAAACCACAGCCACGGGATAAACAATCAATAAACATCAGCCATTTTGTCCACTGTTGAGAGCCAATGCTGTTTGGATACGTAATGGTCTCTGGAGAAGTGGCTGAGAGGAAATGAAAACGTGATGTCATTTTGGAAACTCCTGAGCACTGCTGGTTTCCAAACATCTACATATACAGCTCAGGAAATTCCCGTTCCCAAATCTAAACTCTGATAGTAGCTCTTGAGTCAGTAGTTTGACGCTCTTGTGCTGATGAAGAGGAGAGAGAATGAATGGCGTCCGGGCGTCTGAAGAGTGTCTTGGCTTGGTGAAAGAGGTCAGAAAGGTCTCACAACTGCAGGAAATTCTGTATAAGTGGTACAGGCAATGGTAATGATTCGACCGTGGATGAACGTATGCTTCAGCTGTCTTGCAAATTCCTTCAACGGGACTGTTCGCTTCCAGCAGTGGTGTCAAATTCAGCTCCTGTAGAGTTTAGCTCCAAACACCGGTTACTGTGACTAGTGATTTTCCAAAGTTACAAGCCACTCAACGTTTTCACTGGCCCCATATTTTTAATATTATCTCATAATTTGGCGGCAGGTTTATTAAAGGATTAGTTCACTTTTGAAAAAACTTTTGCTGATAATTTACTCACCCCCGTGTCATCCAAGATGTCCATGTCTTTCTTTCCTCAGTCGAAAAGAAATTTAGGTTTTTGATGAAAACATTCCAGGATTTTTCTCCATATAATGGACTTCAATGGGAACCGGATGGTTCAAGGTCGAAAAGATAGTGTTAATAACAGTTTCAGATGCAGCTTCAAATGTCTTTAAACGACACCAGACGATGAATAAGGGTCTTATCATGCGAAACGATCGGTTATTTCAAAACTTATTCCAAAAATGTAACTTTTCTAAGGACAAATGCTAGCCTGCGCGTTTGCAACGTCACGTAATACGTAATTACGTTCAAAAGGTCACGGGCGACGTAGCCGGAAGTACAGAATCAAAATCGTCCGACATCGTTGTTTTACCTTTTAATTCCTTTTTTGTAAACGGCGTTTGAGTTAGTTTTCACGTTCAACCTATGCGTTCAACTTGTAAACACTCTGACTCTGTACTTCTGGCTACTTCGCCCGTGACCTTTTGAACGTAATTACGTACTACGTGACGTTGCAAACGCGCCTCACAGAATGGAGAAAGGCTAGCATTTGTCCTTAGAAAAGTTACATTTTTGGAATAAGTTTTGAAATAACCGATCGTTTCGCATGATAAGACCCTTATTCATTTTCTGATATCGTTTAAAGACATTTGAAGCTGCATCTGAAACTGTTATTAACACTATCTTTTGGACCTGAACCATCCGGTTCCCATTGAAGTCCATTATATGGAGAAAAATCCTGGAATGTTTTCATCAAAAACCTTAATTTCTTTTCGACTGAGGAAAGAAAGACATGGACATCTTTGATGACATGGGGGTGAGTAAATTATCAGCAAAAGTTTTTTCAAAAGTGAACTAATCCTTTAAGCTTCTGTCACTTTAAGACCTGACGCACAACATAAACCAATACATCATAACCGGTCAACTCGACATAAAACCAAGTTAAACTGTCATGTGGTTGGCTTTGCGTGATCTGCAGTGACATCACAATCGTGTTGCATTGTGGTTTATGAATCTGCCTGAAGTGTACTGTACATATCGAGAAGAGCACTCGAGACATATGCCCCGTTTACACGAAGGGAAGACGCAGATATTTCCCTCTCATTTACACGAAAACCCCGTTTTTATCACAGAAAACGATTTTATTTTTATTCAAAATAAAAAATTTTATCACAAAAGCCCCGTTTTTATTACGAAAAACTCTGATTTCTGATAACGCCGCTTATGTCGACTGAGAGAAACGGGGTTTTAGGTTCTCAGCGGTTATGCACCATAAAAAGCTTCACGCCCAGTTATGATGGCGCTCGACGGCGTATTTATGCGGGTTGATGTAAATGACAACTTTTTTGAAAACGATGTTGTGTGTACAATGAAAACGGATATTCGTTTCTCTAAATACCCGGCTATGTGTAAACGTGGCCATAGTGGCAGACAAAGAATATTCCAGGCTAAAAGGTCCAAAGATTTTGCCTGATGACTTAAATTGTGGAAAAAAATTAGAGGTTAAGTGAGGTCAGTGTCTTTGTCATGACAACTTGGCATAAAACCAAGTTAAACTGTCACGTGGTTGGCTTTGCGTGAATCGTGTTGCATTGTGGTTTATGAATCTGCCTGAAGTGTACATATTGAGTAGACTCGCTCCCTCGGTCAAAATCGAAAGGTCGAGTGTCTGTCCAAATAAACTTCCCTCGCCCACTTTAAGAAGTTAAACACACTTCAAAATGGCAGCCAGGATTCCCCAGAGGGAGAGTGCTTACTAGGGGAGAAACAACAAGAGGTCAGAGGGTACCAGCGTACCTTCTGTTTAACAATGACAGATGCCAAAAACACATTGGTCCAAGTTTAGAGTGGAGCACATGAAAGAGCGCTCGAGACATATGCCCCGTTTACACGAAGGGAAGACGCAGATATTTCCCTCTTATTTACACACGAAAACCCCGTTTTTATCACAGAAAACGATTATTACGAAAAACTCTGATTTCTGATAACGCCGCTTATGTCGACTGGGAGAAACGGGGTTATGCACCATAAAAAGCTTCACGCCCAATAAGTACAAATGTACTTATTACAGTAATTACAATAACTGGGTAATAATAATCTTTGATTGCACTTGTTTTGATGTGCTGACTAACAAATAAAGCACATGTAAAGTACTTGATCTGTATTGTGCTATTTCAACTATTTTTAATAGGGCCGTGCAAAAATTAATTGCGATTAATCGCATCCAAAATAAAAGTCTGTGTTTGCATAATATATTTGTGTGTGCTGTATATAATTATTTTGTATGTATAAATACCTATGCATGCATGTATATATTTAAGAATTATTTTCGCTTAAATTCTGTATATATATAAATACATAATCTATATTATATAAATATAAATATTTTATATATGAATAACACCTTTTCTTAAATATATACATGCATGTGTGTGTATTTATATATGCAAAATAATTATATACAGCACACAAATATATTACAGACTTTTATTTTGGAAATGCGATTAATCGCAATTAATTTTTGCACAGCCCTAATTTTTAATGTACCAAACTGCAACTTCATCCTTACAACCGTGCAATAAAATATATTTATATGAAATTAGACTTTCCCTTTGAGATATATCTGGGGTTTTCTACAGAGCACCTACAGAGTGATGTGTTTTAGCAGTGATGGTCCGGATGGCGTCTGTGTCCCAGATGACCAGATCGCTGTCTGAGCCCACGGCTATCCGACCCTTGCGTGGATACAGGTTCAGGATCTTGGCGGCATTGGTGCTCGTCACAGCGACAAACATGTTCTCATCCATTTTACCAGTGACCTGGGCAGAGGAATGACAAACACAACTGAGAATGAAATGCAACGCTTGTTTAACAGTAGTGGCGCATTAGGGTGCGATTGAAATTATTATTATTTAATGATAATTCAGTGTTTATCAGAGGGGTCCAAGACCCTAGGACTTTTGTCACACTTTAAACATTTAATGGATTTGAGGAGTTTTGTGGTTGAAATTTAAAAAAGTAACAAATCCTTCACTCGCGGGTCAATTTAACCCCCGTAGGAATGAATTGAAAGAGAGGAATGCTTCTGTTTTGCAAGATGTAAACAACACTGGTCCAGAAGCACTTCCTGTTTCAGTTTTTTTTTAACACTACATAAAAGCTGGGATAAAATACAACTAACAGAACATATAAAACTGAATCAAAAAGTTAAACAAACATCTTTAAGATGTTTTCTTTACATATGAAATAAAAAAAAACAGTTACAAACTGAAACAGGAAGTGTTTCTGGACCAGTGTTGTTTACATCTTGCAAAATGGTCTATATAAAAACCTAAAAATACTCAAAATTCAAACAAAAATAATTCTAAAACTTTGCCAAAAAGATATTTTATAATGTCTACATGTGAATCTGAATACATTAGGACCCAGCGGAACAGCTTGTTTGCCCCATATAGAGCTACAAGCCCATGTAGTGGCTGGAGTCATGAAATATCATGTTATATTATTCAGCGAAGTCACCCAATGTAAGATATTTTGAGCTGAATTTAAAGGGTTATGCATGAAATTGTGAGTTATTTTGAATTAAAGTTCAAAGAATGTAAGAAATGTGCTTAATTACTATTTATTTATGTTTTACTGATCAAATCTAGTAATTTAAAGCTATATAAAATAAAAAAATCTCCAAAAATTTATTAAAAATAGAAAATATATAAATAAAATGATTTAAAAAAAAAAGCTTTCTGGACAAAAACAAAAAAAAGGTAAGTATAATTTTAGGTCTTTGGGTCATTTTGACCCGCGAGGGAAAGATATGTTACAAAGTGTGAGGTAAGGATGAAGGTTATATTTTCTATTATCAGAATTTAACAATGGCTTTAAATGCTGCACATCCAGATATGATTTTGAACTGAATCTACAGTATCCAATGTGAACCTCACCACAGCCTTGTCCCAGATGAGTGACATCCTCTCCTCGACTCCATTCACTCCTTCAGGAATCTGAGTGAAGTCATCTTTCCCTATGGCCTTCTGAGCCACGGTAAACGTGCAGTGAGCACTTCCCGTCACCGACAGATCCCCGCTGACAGAGACAGACACATCACAACACTTCAGTGACTAGACTGTGTATGTAACAGAAAAAAAAACAAACATATATAACAACCACTGGGAGAAGTAAGTGCACTTAATTGGACTGAACGTACACTTCAGTGTACTTCAAATTTCACTTTTTAATAAGATAAAATAATATTAATGACATGAAAGGCCACTTAAGTGCCCTTGAAGAGCATACTGTTTCTTAAAACACTTAAGTGCACTTTAAAAAGTTTGCTTTGCAATGTCAAATTAAATGTTTTACATTAAAATTACATTTTATATCATTGTTTTATTCATATGTTGTCATGCTTTAAAGCAGCACACTTATTTTGATGAGTTGACTTACATGCTAAAGCACATATAAAGTACTCGATTATAATTTTAACTGTAGTGTTATTTGATGTTAAACTTACAGTTAATATAAATTAAATGTAGATATATTTTAGTTTGCCATAAATTAGCACATTCAGCAGTAACTTTAACCGTATTTCAAAGACAATTGAAGTAATTATGAAATTACATGCTGAGGCCACAACACATAACCGGCGTTTTCAGAAATCTCCACTTTGGCCGGAGTTTTTAGAAATAATCGTTTTCTGTGATAAAAACGGCGTTTTCGTGTAAATGAGAGGGCAAAACGTGTAAACGGGGCCTTAAGTCCTAGTTAAGTGGGTCGGAAATAGTATTCTTCTAACTACTTGCATTCAATATAAATTTAAACTATAATACATTTCAATCTAATTGTAAACAAAAAGCAATTGAGTGTCCGAAAACATTACATTCTCTTCTCACTTAATTAAATTAAAGTACCCTTTTTTAAATGTATGATAAAGTGTACTTACTTTTTTTCTTTATTACAAGGGAAGTCAAATGAATTTGCAATGGCTTCAAAGCAACTTCAAAAATCAGTGAGAGCATCACTAAATTCAGTTTAAGTAATTAGTAGTTTCAAGTACATATGAAATTAAGCCTATATATATACACTACCGGTCAAAAGTTTTAGATCAGTAAGATTTTTTTATGTTTTTAAACTCTTCTGCTCACCAAAGCTGCTTTATTTGATGGGGAAAAAAAATGACAAACTGTAATATTGTGAAATATTATGACAATTTAAAATGACTGTTTTCTATTTTAATATATTTTAAAATGTAATTTGAAAGCTGAATTTTCAACTGTTGCTGATTACACATAAGTTTTCAGTGTCACATGATCCTTCAGAAATCATTCTAATATGCTGATTTTATGCTCAAAAAACATAAATGATTATTTTCAATGTTGAAAACAGTCGTGTACCATTTTTTCCCCAAAATTATATGATGAATAGAAAGTTCAAAACAATAGCATTTATTTAAAATATAATCTTTTCTAACATTATAAATGTCTTTACTGTAACTTTTGATCAATTTAACTCAACCTTGATGAATAAAAGTATTTTCTAATTTCTTTTCCCCAAAACTAAAAAATAATTTCTTACTGACCCCAAAATGGTAGTGATTAATGTTACAAAAGCTTTCAATTTCAGATCAATTCTGTTCTTTTGAACTTTCTATTCATCAAAGAATTAACTGACAGATCTATATCCAAACATATCTTAACATATATTTATACATTTGTGCTTACCTGGACAACAGGGTGTTCAGGTAGTCTGGAGTAGTTGGGTCTGGACTGAGGGGTGGTGATGTCACAAAAGAAGCAGCCTTAGCCCAGTTCTTGCTCCAATAATGAGTCCCGTCAGTTCCCAAACTGGCCGTGATTGGCTCCCCAAACACCACGTTACCTAGAAATAAACAGCTTTTGTCTCATTATCTAGCTCGTTTCCAAAGATGACCAACAAGGATTCCTATTGGCAAGAATACAGTGTCTTGTCAGCTGAAAGCATCTGCTCAGCAGTAAAGTTTAAACAGGAAATAAACACATAAGCAACCCATTAAACAACAGCTACTCAGGCTTAAATGTCTATTATTGCAGCGACATCTGGAAAACACTGCTGCAGTTATCAACACGAGCTCACTAGAAGAGCTGAGGCTTGCTGGATGCAGCTTTCCATCCATGGGAATGGCAGATGAGCTCAGCAATATTGTGTTTGCGGGATCAGGGGGTGGAGATGGGTAGGATTGGGGTGGGGTTAGGGATCAGGGGGCGGAGATGGCTAGGATTAGGGGTGGGGTTAGGGATCAGGGGGTGGAGATGGGTAGGATTGGGGTGGGGTTAGGGATCAGGGGGCGGAGATGGGTAGGATTAGGGGTGGAGATAGGGATCAGGGGGTGGAGATGGCTAGGATTAGGGGTGGGGTTAGGGATCAGGGGGCGGAGATGGGTAGGATTGGAGGTGGGGTTAGGGATCAGGGGGCAGAGATGGTAGGATTGGGGGTGGGGTTAGGAATCAGGGGGGCGGAGATGGCTAGGATTAGGGGTGGGGTTAGGGATCAGGGGGTGGAGATGGGTAGGATTAGGGGTGGGGTTAGGGATCAGGGGGTGGAGATGGGTAGGATTGGGGTGGGTTAGGGATCAGGGGGCGGAGATGGCTAGGATTAGGGGTGGGGTTAGGGATCAGGGGGTGGAGATGGGTAGGATTGGGGTGGAGATAGGGATCAGGGGGCGGAGATGGCTAGGATTAGGGGTGGGTTAGGGATCAGGGGGTGGAGATGGGTAGGATTGGGGTGGAGATAGGGATCAGGGGGTGGAGATGGGTAGGATTGGGGTGGGGTTAGGGATCAGGGGGCGGAGATGGCTAGGATTAGGGGTGGAGATAGGGATCAGGGAGTGGAGATGGGTAGGATTGGGGTGGGGTTAGGGATCAGGGGGTGGAGATGGGTAGGATTAGGGGTGGGGTTAGGGATCAGGGGGTGGAGATGGGTAGGATTGGGGTGGGGTTAGGGATCAGGGGCGGAGATGGGTAGAATTGGGGGTGGGGTTAGAGATCAGGGGGTGGAGATGGGTAGGTTTAGATATATGTAAGGTGGGAAGAGTTGGATCCAACTCCTCTCCATGGATTTCGTGTTCTGCAGTGAGAACCAGGTCTACTGCCTCAAAATAGCCCAACTCCACGTCTCTGTGATATTCTGGTCTCTAGATATTGCCTGGGTTCCTCCTTCAATGCAAATATTTTTATTTTATTTTTTCTGGCCGCCAGTCAAAAATCATACGTACAGATGTTTAGAGAAGTAAAAGCTCTCTTCAATAAGCCAGATGATCTAAGGACAAATAGTGTGGGATGAGTTATTTGCCTTTAAGTTTAATTCTTTGAGTAGGGCTATGATCAAATTCCTAAACCTATAAATGAGCAATTTTCACTGACTTCATGGCAAACACCACTAATATGCATCTAAGTCCTTTGCAAATCTCATTAAAAGCATCCAGAGGATAAAACTGCCTTATAAAGCTCCACAGACAAAACCTTTAGTCTCCATTCAGGACAGTCGGAAAGAATAGAGGGGTACAGTCAATGTCATAGGTTTGCATCCCTTTTGAAGACAGTGATTAACTACCCAATTTAACACTTGAACAGTGATGAATACTGCAACAGAGATCATTTGACAACACTTTTGGGAACGTTCTCTACCATTTCAGTGACCTAAAACTGCTGCCATAGAAATGAAACACACTCTTTATTCCCGGTAGTGCGGCAAAGCTACTCCTTTAATGAACATGAAGTGTGTTATTTGGGACGGTAACGGTCGCACCTTTAAAGTCCCCCTGTAGTCAATAATTGTATCCCTTAAAACTCATCTTTGATCACCAAAATTACATATTTAAAATGTTAATGGCTTAAAATATCTTGAATGTAACTCGACACCCCTTCTTTATTTAGTATATGTGGCTCAATGAATATGCAAATTTAGCCCCGCCTCCACTCAAAATCAATGAGTTTTTTATATGCGTCATTGATCGTCTGGTATGGTTGATGTTCTGTTCACCATTTTAAAATGTGACTATGGAATTAATTTGATTATTTTAATTAATTTACAGCCATGATATTTACACCTATGAGTTATTTACTTATTTCAATTCCTCCTTTAGTATTTCACTTGCAAAATACCAGATATAGCTTTTAAATGAGTAAATAATGACAGAGCTTAAAGGCAGAGGAGAAGCCTTTTCTTTTATTAACTATCATCTCATTCAATTCATTTGATTGAACTTTTTGGTCCCTCTTTAAGTGGCTTTAAGTACAATGTACTTGGATTGAAATTAATAATTTGATAAAATTGACTTATTGTGTGCATACATGTTTTTACATTGTACTTATATTTTGAAAATACCTGCATGTAATTACAGATGTAATTAATTCTATAATTACACTGTTGACCTATACCGACCCATACCACACACACCTGTCCCAAACCTTACCCGTATCACACCTCAATAGCAGCAAAAGTGTTCAACAATACAACATGAGCACAATAAGTACATTGTACTTATTTTTCAATGTTAATACATGGTACTTAAAGCCACTTAATATAAAGTGGGACCCTAAAATGATATCGCCTGGCTTCTGTACTCCCGAGTACTTCTCGCTTGCCTCAAACTGTAATCATGACTATTTATTTATATTGAACTAATTTACGTAAGAGAGCATTTCATCTGAATGATTTAACTAAACAGTGAGGATTATTACGATGATGGATTGTGGAACTTTTACAACAAACCAGGCAGTGCATTTAAAGTAATGTATAGACAGCTAATATATAATGAAATGACAAATTAACAATAAGACATTTATAATAATAAAACTGTTATTTACACATATGACACAGTTGGATTCAAATGAAGGTCACTGCGGTCATGAATATATAGTCAAAGCTCGGCTAAGGTTTATTTAACTGGACGAGATGTGTAAACTAGCAGGCGGCATCTGTGAAAGCTCAAACGTTACGCTGATGACATGCTCACACTGCTGGGATTTCTTCAGTGTGTTCCACACCTAACACAACACTAGCCATCACATTGTTTGCATTCACACAGATATAGACGATTATGAATATGTGAAATATGGTAAATATTACAAAAATATTCGGTACATTCTTTTTATTTTTTAAATGGCTCCAAGACATTAATTAGAGAATCACTCATTCAAGTTTTATTTTTTAAAATGTAAAATTGTGTACCTTTTTTCCTGGCCTGTGAGATGATATCCGCCGCACTCTTGCTCATCACGCGGGTCACATAGAGAGGACAGTTGGTTTGACTGGCAATCGTGACGGCTCGAAACACTGCCTCAGCTTCTAGCTACACACACACATAATGAAGGACATTGCAAATTTGATTTAGCTGCATCTCTTTGTATCTTGCATAGTTGCTCATACAATACACTATGTTGATTTATTTCTAGGGCTGGGTATTGACACAGATTTCACAATTCGATTCGATTTCGATTCACCAGCTTGCAATTCGATTCGATTTCGATTATGATTCGATTCATATTGATTATTTTGGATATCAGGTACAAAACATGGCAAATATTCTCAAGGAAAACAGATCTCTTAACTAATGCTGTAAACTATGGGAGTCAGTAGGCTACACTGTAAAAAAATATTGATGGTTTAACTTAAAAAAGTAAGTAATTTGGTTGCCTTAAAATTTTAAGTTGATTGAACTGGAAAAAGTGAGTTAATACAATGAAGGAGAATGATTTAATCATCAGAAACTCAAAATTATATGTTATCTGAACTAAATAAATTATTTAAGTTGATTTGACAAAAGAAAAAATGTTGTGATTACTACACTGTAAAACAAATATTGTTGGTTTAACTTAAAAAAGTAAGTAACCTGGGTTGCCTTCAAATTTTAAGTTTATTGAACTGGAAAAAGTGAGTTAACACAATGAAGGAGATTAATTCAATCATCAGAAACTCAAAATAATAAGTTATCTCAACTACATAAATTATTATAAAGTTGATTTGACAAAAGAAAATATGTTGTGATAACAAATCTTGAAAATATTTTTTTACAGTGGGCTTTATTATGATATTACTACTACTATGATATTGAAGATAAAAATTAACTGATTTGTAGCTATACAAGCACTTAAATTACATATTTATTTTTATAATAATATTATATGAAATATAAACATTTAAATGGTGGCTGTCATTAAAACTTGCCAGATTTATTCAAACATGCATTAAATATTGAAGAACATTAAAAATTATAATGAATATGTAATATGGTTTATATATTTAGCAAAATTCCCCCCTCTAGAGTTAAATTTAACTGACTAAGTTTATGGTCACATGGTTTAATGTGACGTCACATGACATTGTTTACGAGCTGTTTAACTGACGGATGAAACGCTGATTGAGCGATTCCATGTGATGATACGGATTTCGATAAGTTGTACTCTATCTTTTAACACACTTTCAGATGCTCGTTCATGTTTATTTGGCGCTGTAACTGGTATTATTAAGACGGAGTAACTGATATTAAGGCGGAAGAGAAGATCATGTGCGGCTGCTTCTCTTGAGCTGAGCCAAAGCGATCTCACACCACAGCGCCAAAACGCTATTTATGTTTTTGAATTTCGTAATGGACCTAATTCGAAATTTGAGACTTTATTTCATAATAATAGTAACAAAGCACAAAGACTATTACGATTTATTGGATAGGCTACACGCTACAATGTTCCATTCATTCATCAAATGAAAACAGGATGACTAATCGATTCTTGAGGTTTAAGAATCGATATCGGTTAGTAAAAGTGAGAATCGATAAATATCGATAAATTTATATTTTTTTACTTGTAATAACTTGTTAATCTAGTTTCCACCCCACACACACACCCTCTCATGACCGACCTCACGGATCACGTCTGCAAGCGATCACTGATAGACTGATGCCAGACAAATTAGATCTGTGAGGCGGGCCGATTTTATGCCAACATGAAATCAATACAATTTCCTTCTCTTATTGTGTGAAACAGATATGTTATGGGGATTGCAGTGATGTTATGAAATGATCCGCCAGTATACAGCTGTTGTTAGTGGTCACTGACCTCTTCCGGGCGGCTGAGAACATGTCCCTCAGGTCCTGTGATGCCCATCTCCAGCATACGGGTCTGCTCCTGAAGAACACAAAGTAGATTAGTGACTCTCTGGCCCTGTTTATTAAGATGCGTTTTGGTGGTTCGGATCACAGATAGACGAGGGAGACACATTCCCGTTTACACCTGGTGTTTTAATCCGTCTCTTTTGTCCACTTTAACCACTTCTGTCCTGATTGCTTCAAGTTTATTTTTTCTTTCTCCAAATTTTTCGATCCAATGGACGAAATAAGCTCACACAATGTACATATGGGCGAACTTGGAGACGTGTATTGTAATTTCAGAATTGCTTCTATTGTCTTTGAGATATGATTAAAATGCACTGCCAAATGTAGCATTTATGTTAAACTAATATACTTCTATTCTTCAATATTATGTCATTTCTTTTGAAATTGTATGTCGTATATTTCGATATAATTGAAATTACACAGTTGAACTTGTAATGAAGAAAGTTGCAATTTAGTACATCTAAAATATGTTCATTTTAAATGTCACTTCAGTTCAAATTATAATAAAGTACTTTGCATGTGCTTTAGTATGTTAATCAACAAATCAAAATACGGGTACAAAAAAAATATTATCAATAATGAATAAATTATTTAAAATAGGGATGCACGATATATCGGCCAGCATATCGGTTATCGGCCGATATATGTTCATTTTTAATGTTATCGTTATCGGCCTGGTAAGAAAATGTAGCCGATATATTAAAGCCGATAAATAATGTATTATTCCCTTCAGCTGAGACACTTGTTGAACACTGTTTATGTTTTATGTCTTGAAATATGATTGAAATCTATTCAAAAAATGAAAATACGGTTCGGTACAACATGTGCACCGCAAATCTGTCATATCGGCTATACAACACTATAATGAGAACATCGTTATAATCGTGCGCTTGGGACATGGATTTAATTGTGAGACTTTTGTTTTTGTAATCAGTCTCTCAAAATTAAATAAAAATTTGGATTTAAGTTTATCGGCCGATATATCGGTTATCGGCTTTCAAATATAAAGAATTATCGATTATCGGTATCGACCAAAATTTTCATATCGGTGCATCCCTAATTTAAAATATATTTAATTTGAGTGCATCACATATTTTCAAAAGTGTACTTCAATAAACAGTCATGAAAGTGTACTCTCTTTAAGTACTCCTAAATGGTTTTATCATCTTCAATTTTTAAATATAAAAATACTTTTAAGATTTAAAGTACACTACAAGCGCGCATTCAATACAATTAAACACACTTCTTTTTCACAAGGGCCGAATCAGACAAACTACACTGTAAAATAAAAGTTGCTGCCTTACATTTTTAAGAACTGTTTAAGTCACTTCAACTCAAATTACATTAAACTGGTTTGAATCTTAAAGAACTTGGAGTTAAAATTGTTCTTAACTTAACTCTTGAAAAAGAGTTAATACCAAGTAAAAACATGTTGTCAGAACTTAATGATCATATAATTACTTTTTACTATTTAACTACAGAATTATTTTACAGAATCTACAACAGGATGATGATGGAAGAGTGCAGAGTAAGTGATGTTCAGAGCAGAAGCATCATAGGTAATGGATTGAGACCACCCGCACACTGCCGGCGTGATAATGTCCAGATGATGGAAACTGGATGAGGGAAATAAATCAGGGCGTACAGTATCCTATCCTCCCAGTCTTCAGACCTCATCCTCACCTCACCCTCATGTCATCACATCACTGCTTTTGTAACTTCACACGGGACCAGATCAGCATTTCAAATCGAATTTACTCCAAGAATATATGGTGGAGATTTACTGCATACTTATCTCAGAAGAATCTGAAAAGGTCAAAACTAGGGAGGATAATAATTCTGTTTTAATGATTTTGCTTCAGATTTAATGTACTTGAGTCCTTCTGTGTATGGATTATTTTTGTGATTTTGAAGAAGAACAAATGGCTGATGTTTGAAAAGCTATTTCACTGTAAGGCTGCATGATACACAAAAAATGTTTTTTTGCAATATATTCTGCTGTAAGAAACAAATACAGGAAGTTTCACCAGATTACTTGAATAGATTTGGAAAGACTTAATCCTGCTAGAATGATTGGGGTGATTTTGTTGGGAAGTGCATATGGCATTAAAAGAAAGAAAAAAAAACGTTTAACTCTAAAGACTTAGTGTGAAATTATTTTTAGGCTGGAGAAATAGAAAAAAAAATTGAAAAACCTGTGTGTTCATACTTGACTTCATAATTACTATGATTTTATTGTTATAATTATTATATTAAACAAAATATTATTCATTTACACTTGTTCAGCTCACAGAACGGCTTGATTCAGAGTAAATCAACCAAGCCGGTCTGAGACCCTGAAACACAGTATCATGAACTACACAGCACATTTATTTACTTAATTAAATTGCAGCCTGAGCAATTTGACAATCACATAAAGCTATATTGTGATATTGATTTTATTTTTGATATATGTTGCAAATAACTGTACAGTGTGTTACTGCCTGCCAGTGGCTATGATGCATATTTATCTTATATGCATATATCATCATTATAATGGCTCCAATTTGTTTTTGACACAACACTCACATCCAGTGAAGGCAGATGTCAGCCGTGAAGCGACTGAACACCAGTGGGCGGAGCCTATGGTGTGATGATGTCTTGCTCTGGAGGCGGGCATATGTAAATGTGTTTGCCCATGTGATGTCAGATCAATAACAAAACAAACTGTTTTTAGAGCTTGATTAAATAAATGCTTTGTTTATGAGCAGGACTTTTAAAGCTCTGAAACTAGCAGCTAAAGCAGCTAACTAGCTTTTATATGTCAAAAATCAAGGCAAATTGGATTTCCCATGTCATGACCCCTTTAAAAGCGGCCCAGAGTTAAGTGCAATAAAGCAAAATAAAGTGCATACCTCCGCTATTATTTCTCCATTTTCTGCGTGGACCTGTGCAATTCCTCCATGCTCTCCGAGAAAGGTGAAGATCTCATAAAGCTGTTCAAATATAAATATAAATATCATATTAGATATTAAATAGTGAGGTTTTAACAAGAAAATATAGCTTATGTTACAATGTGTTCAAGTGGTGACATAAAACAGTTATTTGTTAGTTCAGATGAACCATACAAACTAAAGTCTGTCTGACTGAAGTCTAAAAATCAAGTCATTTTCAGTTAATAGAAGAACATTATTCATAGAGCTTATTTATTTTATTACAAATATATAAATAATCATTAATAAACAGCAACATTCTAAAACATAAATTGAAACAAATTATTGTATTGAACTGATACAGTGCATTCAAACAGATAGCACAAAAAATGCCTCCACAAACTCTATTTAAGACTTTTTATCCTTTTTACATTTAAGTGCATTGTAAGGATCTGCAGGTACTCTGTTTAATATGCCTGACCTACATTACGTTATACAAACGAAAATCCTTTTAAGGGTCAGATCATAAAGAAGTAACTCCCAAAAACTGATCAAATGAAAAGAACGTGTTTATCCACTATGCTCTCCACTTCTCTTCGTCTTACCTCACTGTTGCTCATCTGATAGAGGTCTTTATAAGCCATATACACCTGGAAGGAGTTCACTCCTGTATGGACAGAACGAATAAATCAGCAAACCACAACATCAAACAGCGTTCACTATCAATTTCCACTTTCATAATGATATGCGACTCTTATTCTCCACATAGGGTGGGGATTGTATCCATCATGAATTGGTGAAAATACCAGAATGGACATTAAGCAATGAGTATATACTACGGCTGTGCAAAGATTAATTGCGATTAATCGCATCCAAAATAAAAGTTTGTGTTTACATAATATGTGTGTGTGTATAATTATTTTGTATATATAAATACACACACATGCATGTATATATTTAAGAAAATGTGTTATTCATAAATAAAATTGTTATATTTATATAAAATATAGATTATGTATATATATATATATACAGTATTTACGTGGAAATAATTATTAAATATATACATGTATTTATATATACAAAATAATTATACACAGCACACACACATATGTAAACGCAAACTTTTATTTTGGATGCGATTAATCGCAATTAATCTTTGCACAGCTCTAAACTTCATGAAACCCAGAACAGGGACGTGAAGAATTTTGATTTTTTAATACATAATAATGTTACAGATGACATTCTTCAACAAACAATATTTGACTTAAAAGAAAATATTATTTCAATGTTATTGCAGATAAAAGAAATATAGATCGCTCACTAATATTTGTGCTGTCAAATCGATTAATCGCGATTAACCGCATATAACATAAAAGTTTGTAAAGATATGTATAGGCTATATATATATATATATATATATATATATATATATATATATATATATATACACACCTATATAATATGTTAGATGCGATTCATCTCGATTAATCGATTTGACAGTACTCATTAATATTGATTAAGTCTTTTCTAACAAACACTAAATGCTCTACTGTATTTAAAGCACAGTGCTTCATCAGTTGTCACATGATCATATGTAGCGGGATCGATTCTGCGCTCATTTGTTGGGTTATACAGTAATGAAGCAGAAACAGAAATAGCTCAAATGACCAAGAATAACTTCAGTCAAAGCAAAACACATTCCCTACGGGATACCATACTGGTAGATGTATTAATAACTTCAACATTTTTTTTTAAGTATGCTAAATTATTTTCTGGATCAGTTGTGTCCAGAAATGAATTCTTGCCATCTGGATGCTTGAGTCCCTTGTTCAAGGACGTAATAGTAAAAGCTCTCTCACCTTTCTCCTTTATGAGGCTCTCGACCTCTAGTTTGGTGCTGTCGTTCCAGTGTGTGATGTCCACATGCAGAGAGTAGTCACAGCATGATTTCTCATCTGCCCATTCACGCCAGCGCTCGAACGCTTCCACCAAACTAGCGCCAGGCTCCGGGATCACATGATCCACTGCAGGTGAACCATAAGAGAGGGACATTTTCAATAAGTAATTACTTTTCAACTGCCTAAAAATTATGTTCTATATAGTATGAATCCTCTTTCACCTGGTCATCATGGCATGAGTAGAAACAGTCCAGTTTCATATTTTCAGACAATTAGACCAGGAACATATTTTACACAAGTGCACAAACGCAGCTGTGAGTGTGTGACCAACACATGTACTAGCATTTGGTTATTTTGGCCTCTTACTAGCATTGCAAACTGTGTTAATGCACAAGTTAGAACTGTTCGTGGCCTTAGTCATCAAATTCTCTGTGAAATGACAATGGATTCGGTCAGCATTTGAGGACGGCTTCTTGTGGTCTTCTAGTGCAGACCACAAAATATACCATTACTGTGCTCATAAATGCACAACACAGCTAATTTCCCTCATATTAAAGCAAACCTCGAAAGAGATTTAGCCAGGAGTCTCTCAGTGTTTTCACGTCTTCATTGTCTCTATATTATCTACATGTATAATCTACTAAACATTTCCTCTGGGAACAAAGGGATACGTGCAGCTGGTCTTTAACTCTAAAATGAATCCCTGCTAATGTTCCCTGGTAAACGCAGGGTGTATTGCAACAAGCCGTTCTTATACACCAGCTGTTGTCACTTTTACTTCTGTGGTGGTCAGAAAGAGCTGCTGTCTTTCCACAGAACTTGAGTTTCACTGTGGGCCGTGTGTGAGAGCTTTGTGTGGTCTGCCGGAAGGCTACTATTGTTGTCCATGTTTATTATTAACACACACATACTTTCCCACGTCGGTGAAGCGAGCTTCTGCAGCTTTTAATGCACTTTACTGGGTCGATTAAAAAGGGTCTTATTTTAATTTGCTTAAACGTTCAAACTAGTGCTGTCAAACAATTAAACTACTTAATCGCGATTAATCACATTAATGTCATAGGCGACTCGCGATTAATCGCAATTAATTTCATAGGCAACTCGCGATTAATCACATTCATGATATGGGCAACTCGAGATTAATCACATTAATGTCATAGGCAACTCGCGATTAATCGCAATTAATGTCATGGGCAACTTGCGATTAATCACATTAATGTCATAGACAACTCGCAATTAATCGAGTTAATGTCATAGGCAACCTCGCGATTAATCACATTAATGTCATAGGCAACTCACGATTAATCACATTCATGTCATAGACAACTCACGATTAATCACATTCATGTCATAGGCAACTCGCGATTAATCACAATTAATGTCATAGGCAACTCACGATTAATCACATTAATGTCATGGGCAACTCGCGATTAATTACAAATAATGTCATAGGTAACTCGCGATTAATCACATTAATGTCATAGGCAACTCGCGATTAATCGTAATTAATGTCATGGGCAACTTGCGATTAAACACACTCATGTCATAGGCAACTCACGATTAATCACAATTAATGTCATAGGCAACTGACGATTAATCGTAATTAATGTCATAGGTAACTCGCGATTAATCACATTAATGTCATAGGCAACTCGCGATTAATCACACTCATGTCATAGACAACTCACTATTAATCACATTCATGTCATAGGCCAACTCGCGATTAATCACAATTAATGTCATAGGCAACTCACGATTAATCACATTAATGTCATGGGCAACTCGCGATTAATTACAAATAATGTCATAGGTAACTCGCGATTAATCACATTAATGTCATAGGCAACTCGCGATTAATCGTAATTAATGTCATGGGCAACTTGCGATTAAACACACTCATGTCATAGGCAACTCACGATTAATCACAATTAATGTCATAGGCAACTGACGATTAATCAAATTAATGTCATAGGCAACTCGAGATTAATCACATTAATGTCATAGGCAACTCGCGATTAATTGTAATTAATGTCATGGGCAACTTGCGATTAAACACACTCATGTCATAGGCAACTCACGATTAATCACAATTAATGTCATAGGCAACTGACGATTAATCGAATTAATGTCATAGGCAACTCGCGATTAATCACATTAATGTAATAGGCAACTCGCGATTAATCGTAATTAATGTCATGGGCAACTTGCGATTAAACACACTCATGTCATAGGCAACTCACGATTAATCACAATTAATGTCATAGGCAACTGACGATTAATCGTAATTAATGTCATAGGTAACTCGCGATTAATCACAATTAATGTCATAGGCAACTGACGATTAATCGTAATTAATGTCATAGGTAACTCGCGATTAATCACATTAATGTCATAGGCAACTCGCGATTAATCGTAATTAAGGTCATGGGCAACTTGCGATTAAACACACTCATGTCATAGGCAACTCACGATTAATCACAATTAATGTCATAGGCAACTGGCGATTAATCGTAATTAATGTCATAGGTAACTCGCGATTAATCACATTAATGTCATAGGCAACTCGCGATTAATCACACTCATGTCATAGACAACTCACGATTAATCACATTCATGTCATAGGCAACTCGCGATTAATCACAATTAATGTCATAGGCAACTCACGATTAATCACATTAATGTCATGGGCAACTCGCGATTAATTACAAATAATGTCATAGGTAACTCGCGATTAATCACATTAATGTCATAGGCAACTCGCGATTAATCGTAATTAATGTCATGGGCAACTTGCGATTAAACACACTCATGTCATAGGCAACTCACGATTAATCACAATTAATGTCATAGGCAACTGACGATTAATCGAATTAATGTCATAGGCAACTCGAGATTAATCACATTAATGTAATAGGCAACTCGAGATTAATCACATTAATGTATTACAGTGTAATTATATATTTGTGTACTGAGTAATATTAAGCAACTACATGCACTTACTATAGGCTTAGGGTTTAGTTGAGGAGGTAATTTACTGGTATTACTATGGGGAGTACATGTAACGTATGTAAAATAAGGTGTTATCTACTTAGCAGATAAATACTGTATGACCGATCTTACCGATCATGGTGGTTCCTCCAGCAAGAGCAGCCTTGGTGCCCTGGCTGAAATCATCCACGGTTGTCGTGCCCCTGAAGGGCATCTGTAAGTGGGTGTGGATGTCAATTCCTCCAGGAATCACCATCTTCCCATTGGCCTCAACCGTCTTCACCCCTCCTGGTACTATCAAGTTGTCACCAATCTGCCTTAAAGTTGACAGAACGTGGTAATTTAGCAGAACTTTTTCATTACACTGTGAATTAAATGTTATTGGATCGATGATCATTTCTGAGTATGACTAATGCTTAGTGTTGAATAACTCATCTCAGATCATAAGATAAAATAGGTAGAATTCTTTAAAAAAATATTGACTGAATATGAATAACTCAAAATCTTTGTAGGAATAACTCAAAATAAAATTCATTGTGGTAAGAAGCCAGTTTGTTGTCATGTGAAGTGACCCCTGAATATTATGGGTAATGGAAATGAATAGACTACTAAAAATATTAATATTTTGACCAAGTTGTTCTAAACCTGAATGAAGGTAACCAAACAGTTTCTGGTCCCTATTGACTTCCATAGTATATAGTGGGTGAACTAACCCTTTAAAGGTGTATTGTGTAATATTTTGTGTAATATATGGTGTATTGCGCTACAGTGGCCCTGAGCGGACACACACGTTTTGTCTCTATGTTGTTCTTCGTGCAAAGAAGCGAGCGAATAAAACACTGACACAATGATGAACAAGTAACAGTAATATTCGCAATATCGTTTTACTGAATAATCAAGTAAACCTAATTTCTAAATTAATCTTTGTAAAGAAACCTCATTGCTTAACTGGCTACTCTCTGCGGTTTTAGACGAAGACGTCACTTCCTGTCGGCCACCGTAACTTCTGTTGTGTGCAGCTCTCAACCTCACCACTAGATGAGACTAAAAATTACACACTGCACCTTTAAGTACCTTAAAAAGGAAATCCGAGTTGACAGAAAGTCACTTCATAATGCATAAATGCCAAAAAAGTTTTGACCACCAGTCATTTCATTAAACATAAATGTTTGTTGAAAATGATATAAATGTTCAAAAAGCTAAGAATAACATTAATGCTAACATTGTATTTCTTAAAACTTGGACCATGCGTTTAAAATTATTTTGAATATTGTCATTATCCTTATTTTCAATTAGCCCAATTTTTTGCGTTAGTGACAACTATATGTAGTGAGGTCATAAGTTATCATATTAGCTATTTGTCAACACATGTGTACTGTAGTGTTATAAAAAAACGATCTGCCCTGTGCTACTGGCATACGGCACTATCACTGCGTCTCCTCTGAGATCTTCTGATCTGTGTGTGTGTGCGTGTGTGAATGCAGCTTACTTGATGACTCCATCCTCCATATAGATGTCTGCATAGAAGGACTGGTCATCGTTCACAATACGACCACCTTTAATCAAAAGCCTCTCGCTCTGAGGAATAAAACACATAGAGAGAAATGAGGATTAGTGTTGGGGAAAGTTACAAATTCAATTCAAAAGTAATGCGCTACTATATTTAATTAATCCCTAAAAAAGTAACAAATTGTGTTACTTGGAAGCTTCCGCTGGGCTTGCTTGTTTAGATTGTTGATAATTATGTTTTTGTCAAATTGAAAGGCCTTTTCGCACCAAAAGAGGGCGCCGCTCAAACAAACCTTTCAGACGCAACACTCTTGCTGCGTCCCAATTCGCCTAAGTATCTACTCTTTTAGTGAGGAAAAACTAAATACTTTTGAGTGAGTAGACAAGCTTCGGGACATACTATCACGTTATAAAACGCTTTTTCACTTAGTTTCACGCATCCTGTAACCATAAACTAGCTCGATCATCTTGTCACAGTTAACAGAAAAATAGTAGCGCGTTGATGTGCCAGTCGTGGGTCTCATATTTTTGCAAAATTATGCATTTAAAAGTTAATGACCAGACGTATCTTTATAAAAGTTCACATTGTTGTTGCAGATTAAATATTACACGAATAACATGAAATATTTTTCGTTTTCAGGTTAAATGTTGATTATTAGTCACTCAAACCCTTTTAACAGTTGGTTGCACACATCCACCATGTTTGTAGTTTTTAACAGTAGTAGGCAAAAACCAGTATGTGACAAAATAAGTATGACCAAATTCACAGCCGATTCTAAAGATGTAACTGGTCATGTCAATCACAGTGCTGACTGCCTACACCAAACACTAATACCATCCACCGTAACCTTAGCCAATGAAGAATTAGCAAAAGCACAGGATTTCCACTCAACTAAAAATAAAAATAAAAGAGCAGGCAAAAAACCCAGATGACCTATTTCTTCCGGCAATAATCTGAAGTGTGAATGTGATGGACACTTTACAATCCCAAACTGGACTCCAAATGTGATTGGTGAATTTGATCACCGAAGCTCAGACGCAAAGTCATTTACTAAAAAAGTGAGATTAAATACACAAAGTATAGTTATATTATTTAACATTATTAATTATTGCAGATTATGCGCATTCGTGTTCTGTGACTCTCCTGTTCGAACTCGTTTATCAAAATGAACAAATCTTTTTTCGTGTCATTTGGTTCATTCAACGAACGAATTGACTCGGAAAAAGATTCATTCATTTTTATGAAAGAGTTCGAACAGGAGAGTCACGAACGCGCACCACAGAACAGAGCAAGGCGAGCATTTGAGCTTATAAAACTTTGTTATTTATTTATTAAATAACCGATCGTTTCGCTTGATAAGACCCTTATTCATCGTCTGGAATCGTTTAAAGCCCTTTGAACAGTTTGCACTGAAACTGTCTTTTGGACCTTGAACCGTTTGGTTCCCAATGAAGTCCATTATATGGAGAAAATCCTGGAATGTTTTCATCAGAAACCTTAATTTCCTTTCGACTGAAGAAAGAAAGACGTGGACATCTTGGATGACATGGGGGTGAGTATCAGCAAAATCCTGTGTTTTTTGTGAACTACTCCTTTAAAGTAAGACTTCTTCTACTAAAAATAATGGCTAGTGTGGTGGCTGGGATATACATAAACTTACCAGCATCTGTCGCCATGATTTCGCCAATTACTTATCGTGAGAGAAACAAATTACGTTTTAGTTGCATAACATCGGTTAATGGAAACGATTCACAAAACTATCATGTAAATCTGTAATGGAAACGCGGCTAGTGACATGCCTATGTTTTTACCATTCTCACACAAATTGGATATGCCAATGAGGTCCATGTAATAAAACATGTAATATAATAAAATAAACATGAAGAATCAAAGACATATTGCATGAAAAAAATCTATCAAGTAGGATTGCCAAGAGCAATTTTCAATCATAAATGATTGAGCTCATATGGATCAGTGTATTGGTCTGTCTGGGGAATCATGAATCACAGCATCAGTGCTGTATCAGAGTCTCTGCTGGATGAAGGGCACAGACGTAACTTACATTTCTAATGGAAAGAAAAGGACTTACTGTGGTGAAAATCTAGTTTTTAATATTGTTTATGTGTTTTTAATACGCTTTAAGACAAACCATGTGTAAATTCATAAGTCTTTTCACAAGTATTTTCTGCTTAAAACTGCAGTGAACCAAAGACATTCTCAAAAACATGCTTTGAAATCGCTGGTGTTTCTGACGTCGCAAACGACCTTGTAACCAATCAGATCAACGTGTGATCGTCAAACAGTGGATCTCTCTGAGTGAGCGAAAGAGTGGAGGCGGGGCTCATTTGCATATTCATAGAACCGCATATACTAAATGAGGGTGTCAAATTACAGTCAAGAAGGCATGAAGAAATTTTCAAGAAAATATATGTCATTTTGGTGATTAAAGATGAGTTTTAAGGGATGAAAACTCATTGACTAAAGGTACTTTAAAACTTAACATTATCAAAAATGTCCTCCACAGCTTGTTTTGTTCAAGCTTATTTAAAGTCCTTAAATCCCTGCTATAAATAATTTAGTCACATTTTTTTTTCTGGGTGCTGTGTTATTCCTTGCTCCATCCATCACATCAACTTAGGGTCAAAGTCAGCAGGGTGACATTTTTCTGAGTAATCAGTTCATAAACAGGATGTCACTGGTGTCACTTCAGTTCTCAAAAACAACGTACGCTTGAACAGGGAACAGTCAGATCATTATTTTGACAAAGACAACTTGACAGGAACTATTTTGTGTCCAGAAACCATGACAGAGAACCAACAAGAATTTTGGAAGCACTACAAATCATGTTACGTGTTCATTGGCCCGGTTTACAGCTGGTATTATGATGCGTTTTGATGGATCGGATCAGTAGTAGACGAGGGAGACACATTCCCCTTTACACCTGGTGTTTTAATCCGTCTCTTTTGTCCATTTTCAACCTGATTTCTTTAAGGGGTGGGTTCTTCAATCTAATAATAATAATACAAACTCACGCAATTTACATATGATGGCGACCGGAGACGACGGAAAAACACGAAGCCACAAGACCAGCCGAACACTGTGAGAGCGTGTGTTAGAAATCAGAAACGCTGAGCGAACATTGTGTTTGGTACGATTTCCCTCTTCAAACCAAACGTGTGTCTTCAGCTGATAAAGTTTAAACCTCGTCTGTCTAGATCTCTAAAATGTTCACTCATTATTCAGGAGACGGTCTTTTAGTGGCTGTTTGAACACATTCGGTCACATGAGCGTTTACACTACGACAGCAATCCGCTCGAATGTGTTTTCAGCTCGCCCTGGAAGTGGTGAAAGTGGACGAGCTCAAAATATTTTAGGCCCGTTTACACCTGTGTGAGTCGTCCACTTGTGATCCAATCGACCAAAACACATCTTAATCCACTGTATAGTGATCAAACTATGCAATAACGCTGTATCATGAATAATAAGGGCATTATTCTTAGTGACTTATTCACAATACATCACAGACTCTCATACCGTATTACTTTTATTAAATGGTTACCACACAATACACATATTAATGCCAAAAAACATGTATCAATGCAACTTACTACGCCATTAGATGTCGACAAAGACTGCCTTTATGAGTGAGTCCCCAGATAGCAGACTGACATTGAATCAACGTGGAAATATGACATCGAAACAACGTTGATCTGACATTGTTTTGCTCATCGAATTAACGTTGAACCAACGTCAGATGCGTCATTCTTTCAAAACTAACGGAAAATCAACTTGAAATCAACGCGTTGTTTCAACGTTATGAAAGCAAACCAATTTTCGATTTCATTTAGCTTTGAAGAATGCCGCGTCTGACGTTGGTTCAACGTTAATTCGATGAGCAAATCAACGTTGTTTCAATGTCATGAGAGACGTCGTTTCCACGTTGATTCAATGTCAGTTTGCTATCTGGGTCAGTCAGTACCAAAGACTTTTATATCGAAAGGACTCAAACTCTTTGTGAAAACGGAGAAGTTGAACACGACTGACAAATAGCTAGAGTGTCAGAGCAGCATGTTAACTGTTAGGGGTCATGAACTGAGAATTAAAGTTTTCCTCGATCTTTTGATAGTTAAGGTTGTAATATTACATAAATAAAAAACATCCTGTAAGTTTCAAAAACGTCAAAACGTCCTTGTTTTTCCATTAACAGCTTTTATTGAAACCAGGGCAGGATCTAAAAAGTGGAGACTTGACGATGACGTCACAGAGCAGCAAAAGCCGCCTTTGCAGAAGAAGATCAACGCCTACGCGGACATCACCGCGTCTTTGGTGTCACCCACTGGCTCATGAGAACGAGAAAATATCGACACAGGATCAATAACATTACCTTCCATAGGATCCCAATGCTAGGAAAGTGTTTTGTCTTGTTTTTCTCAACAATGTGAATCAGCAGAGCATAATTCTTTTTTATTGGGTGCATTTTAGAGCCCGACCGACAAAGTATTTTGAAGGCCGATACGATACAAATATTTTTGGGCTTTAAAATCCGATATTCCGATTTATCGGCCGATATTTTATTTATTTATTTGTTTGTTTATTTATTTATTTTAAACTGGACATGATAGTCACAAATTTTGTCATGCTTATTTGAGTTAAGAGAACTGATGGGGATGTTCTTTTAATTGTTAGAGTGCCCTCTGGTGGACAAACTATACAACTCCAACACTCATGACATGGTTCAAGCGTGTTTCGTCCGTTTTTATTTTATTTTTGAAATATTCATTTATCGTCCATTATAACTGCCGATACCGATAGCTTGGAAAATGCTTAATACCGGCCGATAATATCGGCCTGCCGATATATTGGTCTGGCTCTTGTGCATTTCACTGTGCATTATTTGGTAAATCAGTCGCAATTTCAGCGCAGGCTTTACAAATAAGACTTTTACGATATGGATCTGCCAGCAACGCCACAAACATATAAGTAACCATGTTTATTCTTATCTCTGATCTGTGATCAGTGATTTCTGATGTGTAACTATTCAAGCTCAGACAGATTTTCTTTCTTTCAA